AAAGAAACAGGAAACTTGTTTGACACCTTATGTTTTCTGATTCTTCACAAGCATTTTAACTTCAGGCTTTCTAGACACCAATGCCTAAAAGGAATTCCAGTTCTGCAGTTAAAAAAGAAAATGCTAGACATCCTGGAGACGCAGAACAGGGGCAGAGGCCAAAGTCCTAATTTCTGGGCTCTTTTACAGAGGTCATGGAATGGATTACCTTATGGCATTACTTTATGACATCTGAAATAGCACACGTTCCAGTCAAACTATCATTGTCTACAGACATTTAATTTTTTTCTGAATGCAGAAAGACTAGTGACCTTGCCCCCTTCGTGTGGTAAGCAAAGCATTCACTGAAGATCAGTTAGAGCTGCTGCAAATAAGAACTATTGCCCAAGATATACGAAAGGCACAAAAGATCTCTCAGCACTCCATCCTGAAATCAATAGTATGTTACCAAAAAAAGGTGCAAGGAAATTCTGACTCAAGCTCTCATTCCCACAAGGCCCAAGGCGCCTCATGTTCCCTCTTGTGACAAAGGAAGGAGCCATGCTTCAGGGACACGGAGTGATTAAATTCTGCTCTGTAATAACATTTCCTGCCACCACCTCCAGTTTCACTCTGGCACAGGGATGTGGGCAGCCAGACAGTCTTCCCATCCCTGGGCACATTACAAAATAAAGAAAGAGGAGTGAAGCAGTTTATATCACTCCAAGCCAAACGGGAAAAGATACAGGAAAATCCTCTCTCTCGACATAACAAAACTCAAATGTAGAAAAGAACAAAAGATAGGTTAAGATTCCTGACTCTTCCCTGGCAAAACACTATCAAAAACCTATGTGGGGAAAATGTTAATGCTGATAGCCAAGAGAGGAACTCTGCACATTGTCTCCGTCCTAGCAGCTGGTTAAATATAATTCCTTGTGGTCAGCATCAGAGCTTGCAGAGTTACTTGGGTGAAAAAAAGTGCCCCTGGTCTTCAGCATTTTTTAAAAGTTATATAAAGTTAAAGGAGGAACAGATAAAGTGAAGCCATCTCCTTAGGCCCTTCTTACAATTTGGAAGTGACCAGCTGGCCAGACAGCTGGTTTCCTATCTCACCTCCCAGGACTTAGCTACAGTGATCCACGCAAGGGTCACATCCAGGCTGACTTACTGTAACTTACTCTACACAGGGCTGCCCTTGAACCTGAACTGGAAACTGCAGCTACAAAATACAGTGGCATGTCTGCTGATGGCGACATCCGTGCAGACACGCATTCAGACAGTATTGTGCCAATCGCACTGGCTGCCAATTGAGTACCAGATCCAGTTCAAGGTCATGGTACTGACCTCCAAAGCCCTATGCCACCAGGGACCAACATACCTACGGGACCGTCTCTCTCTGTACGTGCCCCAAAGAGCTTTACGCTCTGCCAAGCAACATCTCCCGGCAGTCCCCAGCCTGAAAGATGTCCGCTTAGCCTCAACCAGGTACAGGTCTTTTTCTGCCCTAGCCCCAGCCTGGTGGAACACGCTCCCCACTGTTGAAATCAAGGCCCTGCGGGATTTATTACAATTCCTCAGAGCCTGTAAAACTAAGCTGTTCTGCCAGGCCTTCGGTTCCGGTAGCAGCTGTCTAACCATTTTGGCCTCCCCTGCCCCCACGGCCCACATTGTTGCAGTGCTCAGAGCACTCGGTGTGATTTGCCCTGCTCACAGAGACCAACAGAGCATCACCACAGGGGGCAGCATGAATCTGCCTTGATTGGTCGCCATCTATTTTAATTACTGAAACGTGATCCTAAATCTTTATCCTTTGCCTTTTAATATTAAATTTGTTACATTTGTTTTTAAATTCTAATGTTTTTGGTTATTATATTGCTGACTGAAATGTTGTGACCCACCCTGAGCCAGCTTGCGGGAGAGGGTGGGATATAAGCCTAATAAAGCAAAGCAAATCAGAAGTTTTTAGTATTTGTTTCCAATCTTCATTATTCCTGCACCAGTGAATGATGCGGGCTGAGTTGCTAACTAGACACTTGAAGGAATATTCTAGGAAAGTTATACAGATAGGGTTGGGGAGGGGATGTAGCTTAGCTTTGCAGGCAGAAGGTCCCAGGTTCAATTTCCAGTGTTTCCAGTTAAAAGGAACAGGTAGGAGGAGATATGAAAGATCTCTGCCTGGGACCTGGACAGCCACTGCCAGTCTGAATAGACAATACTGACTCTGATGGGCTGAGGGGGTCTGAGTCAGTATAGAGCAGCTTCACGTGTGTTCATGTGGAAGGATTGGCATAAATGCACACCTGTTAGCAGAAGCTACACTAGTACAATGATGGTATAATCCTATACAGAGTGACTCCACTCTAAGCCTAGAGAAATCATAGAATCATAGAGCTGGAAGGGATCTCCAGGGTCATCTAGTCCAACCCCCTCCACAATGCAGAAAATTCACAAATACCCCCCCCACCCCCAGTGAGCCCTGCTTTATGCCCAGAAGAGCCCTTGAGCTGGAATAATGCCACATGGGGGCTACAGTGTGACTAACATATGGTACAAATATAAAATGGTAAAGGTAGCAACTGTAAAAAATCCTCCCATGCCTTACCTGGGCAGCCTGGACGGATTAGGATTCTGTCTGTTGTTTTTACAGGACATCACAAAAGCAAAAACAAGGAATGCCCTTTCACTCCACTGTCTTTACAGGTCCCATTAGCCACACATGTGTTATTAGCAATGCTTAACAAACCAGCTTCACATGGGTTTACTACATTCACAAAGAATTGCCAAAGGGTCCTTTCATGTCTAGCTTAATGCAATGTAAAGGAGGGTGTGTGTGTGTGTGTGTGGGGGGGGTGCACGCACACATGTGCATGTGTGGGGAACCAAGATCCATACTCCAAAACTTAAGCATCCAATGAATAAAGCCCCACAAACCCATGTGCAACTATCAACAAATCCAGATTTCCCAATGTTATGGATAAAAACACATAACAGAGAAATAACATCAGGCAAAGCTTTACAGACCTGTAAGAGGCCTGCCAGAGACACAAACCTCTTCTTAGAAGTGGACCCCCCCCCAATTCCCCAGATCAAAAGGTACTACCCTTTAATCCCTTGTTTCACATTCCCGCCAATAACCAAAACTGACAGTCCAGTTACCTGATCCATGCAAGGATGCTACAAAACAACAGCAAATCCCAGCCAAAATTTGGTTAGGAAGGGTCCATGATGCAGTAACAGCTAGACTTTTATAACCAAGCATAGTAGTACTGGTTAAATAGCTGTCACATTTTTGGAAATCTCAATGTTCCCTCCTAATATTCAAAAGAGGTTCTCAAAAGGCACTTGCAGGCTTCTTATTTGACAACATCAAACCATCTGACAACATTAAGCCCAGGCTTCTTTGTGATAGTACTCACCAGTACTGAGTACTGGCGCCTCTTTTTCAGGGCTCTCCAAAGTCCTGAGCCCCATCCACCAGCCCACCCCATTCGGGCAGAGAAAAAGAGTGTGGACCCTCAGAAACAACCTATGAGGATCTGCAAATGGGGAGGGGGGAGATCGGTGGAAATCTGTACAACTTTAAATATAGAGTGCTGGCACTAACAAGAAGAAGAAGAAGTCAAAAACCAAACAGACAGAGCTAAAACTAAGCATTTCAACAACCAATTCATTCATCTGGTGAATAGGAAAGGTTTTGTATACAAAAATGCTTTGCCAGAAGGCAGAAAAACAGTGAGGTTGCTTTCAAAATCGTGTAACTATGATAGGCGGTCTGAGATCATGACACACAAAAATAAGCACCTTGCTCAGGAAAGATTAAAGAGGAAGGAGTTCATCTGCTCAAAAGGTAGATATTATACAGAAGTCTAGGAGACAGATGAAATTTAATGCCAATAACACACTTACATCCTACAAGCAAGATAAACTAACCTACGAATGCCGTATAGACTTTCTAGTTGGTGAAGAAACACCACGCCCTCCCTCACCCCCAAGGATCAGGTTCTTCAGGAAAACAGATGTCTGAGATGGATACCCTCTTTTCCTGATCTTCACTATATAGAGGAGGGGGCCAGAGCTGCACCATGTTACCACTAACCCTTCTGGTACTCCAAAAGAACAGCCCCAGGCCCCTTCCTCTAACATGAATTACAACCTTACCAACCTCATCGCCTTACCTGTAGTAGGGCTGGGCGGAGACTGCTCCAGGGCCCTGCCATTGGAGTCATTGGGGCTAGTGTGGCCATATCTGCCACTGAGCCAGCTATTGGGGGGGGCGGGGAGATGGAGTGGCACCAGAAAGCTAGGTGCTAGATATAAAGGCGAGGAAGTCAGAGGATCCAAACAGCTATCTCCCCAGCAGAATGGCAATAGTGAGTGGCTGAAGTAAAAGGCATCGACCACTCATAAGGCACAGAGGTGTCACACCCTGACAGCCAGGTCTCCCTGGGTGGAGGAAAGCACTGCAGTCCAAGGAGGTAAGCAAGCCAAACAACAGCAACACAAACTCCAGTCCCAGGCGCTTCCTGTTCTTCTCTTCAGTGCCGACATCCACATTGGGGGGTGTCAACCTCCTGGTGGGGTCTGGAGATTTCCCAGAATGACCACTGATCTGCAGACTACAGACATCAGTTCTCCAGGGAAAAAAATGGCTGCTCTGAAGGATGGAATCTATGACATTATAACCTAATGAGATCCCTCCCCTTCCCAAACCCCACCCTCCCTAGTCTCCAGGAATTTCCCAACCCAGAACTGGCAACCCTACCACAGGGTGGAGCCCCACTTTGCATCCTACCCCCAATCCTAAACATCAACACAGCCCCTACACTGAAAACCACTGTCATACCTGTGAGTTAGACCAAGGCAGCAGCGTTGGCCACGCCCATTAAAACCAACAGGAATAGTTCCGCCATTTCCCTTAGACAGGTAAGAAGAAAAGACTACCCAGCATTGACTTAGCTCTGTGAAAAAAAATGCCCTGTTCAAATCACAGCTATTTTCCTACAGGAAGCGAAGATCTTTACCTCTCTTCGTCCTTGAAAATGAATTTCCGCAGCTTGAGATCCCGCAGTACCAGCCCGCCGTCATGACAGTGTGCCACGGCAGACACAATCTGATAGAACAGCTTGGCTGCCTCCTCCTCCTTCAGCTTCTTGCAGGTACGGACGAAGGAATGCATGTCCCCATAGCTCCTTTCAAAGAACACATACGCTTTCGTCTCCCCAAGAATTATTTCAGTAATCTGGTTGATGTTATCGTGGGGAGGCAGACAAAAACATGGTGCAAGTAACTCTTGGTAGCAGCCAATGTCAAACACCTAGAAACACAACAGAGAACAGAAAAGGGTTAAGGGAGAGAAATGGGTTCCAGCCGCCATATTACTTTACAGATAATCAAGCCCATGACATAGCAGATGCTAAGATTGTAATAGGCACTTATATTGACACTTATGCATTGCGATGCCTGGAATTGCTTTTGTCCTGAGGAAACCTATTTCTCCCCCACCCCCCTACAATGCACTTTAGTTGGGAGGGGCTAGACCAATTTCTTTCTCCCTCACAGGAAAAAACCATAATTAAATTAAGCAACAAAAATGACTCTCTACGATTAAAATCCACCACAGCTCAGAGGACAATTCTATTCCCATTCTGATATCCCTTATAATTTGATGGCCAGTGGCACAGTATTCAGTGAAGTACGAGATCTCAAGAAATACAGAATGGGGTTCCTCCTGCCTAGTTTTGAATGCAGTTCCATCATGAACAACAGGGCAAACACACCACAATTCTTTAAAGGACTTCGATATTTTATAAGTGTATTAAAATCCTTGTTGTGCCGCTGTCTCAGCCTCCTGTTATTAATCATTAATACTTCCTGTATTCCTTTACTCTCTTGGCAATGAAAAGAAGCCAAATTCACTTTCAGGCAAGGAAAAGTAACTGAAAGCCATAGGCAGCAGTAGGGATGGGCATGAACCAAACCACAAACCTAAATTCGTCACAAATTTGGGCTGGTTCATCATTCACGAACTGAGGTTTATGTCCATCCCTATCCACGTGGTTTTTGGGAGGCTCATGGTGGAAAAAGGGGAGAGCAAGAGAGATCACTAAAATGGCTTTCATCTATTTCAGCCTCCAAGCCATTCAGTGATCCATCTAGCTCCCCCCCCCTGTTTCCAAGTGTTCCCTTTAAATGAGTTTTGCAAGTGTGTGCTCCATGTGAGTGAAGCCCAAGCAGTGAATTCACCCAGAAGTGGTGAAAACACCACTTGGACTCCACTCCCACGCAGCGCCCACTTGCAAACCCCATTTAAAGGGAACATTCCCTTTAAATGGGGTTTGGAAATCCCTCCCCCCGCAACCATTCTGCTAGCCTCGGGGAGCTGCCCCCAGCAGAAAGGAGAAGGGAAGATCCACAAACTTGACCCAGTTCACGAAGCGGGGGAGGTTCATCCCAATTAATGGGACCTCAAAAATCATGAACTGGGACAAACCTCCATTTTCCTTGTTCAAGCCCATTCCTAGGCAGCAGCTTGGCGGGGGAGGGGGGGAACTAAAGAAGGGCCATATTTTGAACTATGCAAGGGATGCGGGAGTGGCAATGCTGGCTCCAAACACTGGGTCATGCATATGTAAACTGAGCCAAAGGATAAGTTTTTCAACTTCTCTCTCTGGTGTGCTTCCATTACATAACAGAATTCTTTGCTTCTCTAATTATGCTAGTTAGCCACTCACACAGGGGTCCAATACAGGACACAGGTCATTAGGAAGTACGTAACTTTGTGATGCTATATGCACCTGGTGTCTTGTTTATACTAGATCATCGCACTCCAGCGATGCATAGCATCAGGCATGCTCATGTTGCACAGACAGTGAGTATGCACCCATAGCAGTCCAGTTTTAAATTAAATGCTCAGTGCATGTAATGTCACACAGGTAAGCATTTCTAGCCCACCAGCACTAGTCCTGACACACAGGCAAAGGCCTCATGAACCTCCCCCTCTCCTTTCTGGAGACAAGATTTTGATAGTGACTTCTCCCTATGCACCTCAGCTGCTCGTTCCCAGTTCCTATGTCTTGGTTTGGGCGCAGAAGTCAGAAATCAAGATGCATAAAGAGAACCCGTTGCTAAACCCTCTCTTGAAAATAAGGAAATGAGGTAAATGAGGCCTTTGCCTGCATCTCGGTAAGTAGCTGAGACACAGAATAGGAAAAGGGCTCCAGTAAAATACCTGTTGCTGTATGGAACGGAAGTAGAAGTTATGTGGTCACACACATGAAGGTTAAAGAGCTGTCTGCCCATAATCTGGCTTTCATGGGCGGAAAAGGCTAAGGGGGTTATCAACAACCTGGAGGAAAACTGTTCTGTCCCTTTGATAGTCTTAAGCATGCAGAAATGGGCAGGGGAAGCTTTTCACGGAATATAGCTAAGTAACATCATCTGGTAAATAACAACATATTAAGGATGCTTTCACACACACTGAATAATGCACTTTCAATCCACTTTGCAACTGGATTTTATTGTGAGAAAGGGCAAAATCCACTGGCATTCAAAGTGGATTATTCAGCATGTGTGAAAGCAAGAGAAGCCTCTGTTATAGGGGCAGGATGCTTTTTCTCCTGGCTACTTGGCAACCCTAGACATAACAAGGGGAGTCCTTGTTGATTAAGGCTAGGATAGTGGACAGGTGGGAAGCCCCTTGGAGATCGAATTGAGTTTGCATAGATTACGAAGTTTGTTCTGTGTTTCCATCAGATTGTCATTAAGTTTTTGAAGCATGTAGGGCTTTAAAGTAAGTGTCCCTTTAAAAAACTGAATGCCTCTTTAACAGCAGGCACGTCACCTGTGCTCTTGTGAATGAATTGTAAGACAGCAAAAAGCATGCTGGGAAATTCAAATATAAAAATGTTACACTAATCCAGTGATTATGAATGAATCAGTGCATGAGACATTTAGAAGCCATACGGATTCAAGGCAACAGGAAGGATTTCATTGAGAATAATGGGTGTATTGCAATAGGAAAGCATAACCAATACAAGACACAGGCTTCCATTACTGGTGCTGCACGCTTCTGATGTCTTTCCCACTAAACAATGAAGGTCAAAAAATTACAAAGCCGGATTTATTACTAAAGCACACAGACTGACCTCATTGCACAAGATAAAGATAAAATGTGGCAGTCCAGGAACATAACTGGCCTAGAACTTGCTCTCAATGCAGTTTTTAAAATGCAATGGTGTAATCCTAAATGCATGCAAAATCTGCCTTAAAGTCAAGTTAAGATCTCTTCTGACATCAAACAGTGCTTGCCTTGAAGATTTACAGCCAGACTCTAGGCATGTTTATTCAGAACTGAGTTCCATGGACCTTACATCTCAGTAAAAACACATAAAACTGCAGCTCTCCTCAATATGTCAGTTCAGCAGTGCTTCAGCAAAAGGGGCATTCCATGGACCTCTTCACCCCAGCTTTCCTCCAATGGTTTCAAAAATGTGTGAGATATATCACATTTTCATCCTGCTCCCCTTCCAAAGAGCTCAGGGTAGAATACATGGTTCTTCCTTCCCACAGTTTATCCTCAGAAACAGCCCTGTGAGGTCATATGGGCTGAAAAGAAAGTCAAGCATTCACACATTATCGAGTGCATGGGTTGGGTCTAGGTTCCTAGACAGTCACACGTGAGCTGCAGGTTCTCCTTAATTCCGGTGTGTGTGGTGCCCAAACAGCATCAGGACCATGGTTTACAAGAAGAGGCTTCACACGACACCTCTGCACCATTTCCCCACTCTAAAACAGTCCAAGGAGGTGGTGTTTGGGGAAACCCATGTGGTTTGTTTTGGTATTTTGTGTAGAATAGCCAGGAAATCTTAAGGTTGTCTGGCAGTCAGAAGTTCTAGCTCTTTCAGCACTATGCACCACAAGGTGGCAAGCGAGACTTGTTTTATGGCAAGGGACGGTGGCAAGGTGGTTTGCCATTACCTGTCTCTGCATCACGACCCTGATATTCATTGAAGGCCAACCCTGCTTAGCTTCCAAGATCTGATGGGATCGAGCTAGCCTAGTATCTCATGTGGTACCTGGGATACATGTGGGCTTCCCCAACAGGCACAATAGCACCCTCACACACACATACTCATGGACAGCTGCAGACAAGGGAAATGGTGCAGGCGGGGAGGTGGGACAAAAGCCCCTTTGCCATTTGTGCCACGGTCCTGATCCAGATTGGGCACCACACACACACAACTGAAGAGAACCCACAACTTGCATGTGAGTGTGTGACATCTGGCACAGGGTGGGGACCCAGACCCAACCTGTGTACTCTGTAATGAGTAAAGGGGAAGTATGGATTCAAACCTAGGCTTTCCCAACTCTACACCAACACCCTAACCATACACCATCTCTACGGATGGAGCTCTGCTACTTGTGTTGGTTAACAGACCTCCTGACAAGGAAGGAGTCCTGAAGGCATTCTGTGCTGGTAGGATCAAATTTCAGTAGGGGAGGGGGACCTTTCTGCAAAAGGAACACTTTTTGTGTGAACACGCTTGGTACTGGTACTACTGGAACAGAAGCTGTTGGAATAAGAACAGATAATCCTACATGCAAGCCGTGTGGAAAATGTAATGATCTTCCAGCTACTGTAAAACACGTAACCTTTGTACCAGTAAAAACCCACCCTAACAAGCCAAGGCTTCATTTGATTGAAATCTCAGCAGCTTAAACTTTGATGGTTCACCAGTACAGACTGTGCCATGCCTTGCAACACTGACAATAAGGTAACTTGCTTAGTGTCACTGCCCTCAGTACCTAAGCAAAGAGATCAGGAGCCTAATATAATAGTTTCCCGCAATGAGAAAGAAACAGGAATCAGCTGGGTTCTAAAAAGCACATAGCACACACCTAGGGGTGCCAGCCAAATCAAATAACCATGCCTTTGTGTCGCCAACCCTCAGGCTTGGGGGAGAAATCCACAATGCTGTTTTCAGTAAGAGAAGAGGCAGAGAACAAACATCTGCAAGGCAAGGCCAGTGTTTATCCAGAAGCACAGGCAGACATATTAATGCATGCATTGCAAATTCAGAAGTGCTGGAATTCAAGCATTTGTTAGGGGGGGTACTTCAGCTTACAATTATTGAGAACACCCAATGACATCACCAAAAAAACCCAAACCCCTCTAATACTACTAAACAGCTGACACACATTAGATCATGACAATGGAGGGAGATGCGTTGATACAAGCTTCAGTTTGGTTACCTGGTGTGTCTGTCTTAACCGCAAACATACTTGACAATGTGAGTGTGAGGGGGGAGAGAGAAGTACCAACAATTTACAAATTAATCACTGGTTTCTGAAAGATTTCAAAGCAGAACAGCATTTTTGCAAGCTTTCTGCATTTTCGTGCACAAGTCTCCTGCTCTATGGCTTTCAACTGCCCTTCCTGTAGCAAGAAGCTAAGAATATTTTGATTTGCATCTAGTTTGGCAAAGGAGGGCATGCATTTTAAACACCACACTCCATGACGCCACTTTCCAGCACCTTGCAGTGGAAGTCCTGCAAGGTCAGAGGCTCCCTTTGACATGATCAGTATAAACAGCAGAGAATTAAATCTTTATTAAGATCTGGGATTCATGACTCACAAGTGGCCAGTACATTCATACTGCCCTGCTATGCAAGCTTTTACGAGTAACCAGAGGATGTAATTTAATTTGCCCACCACATAGGAATATAAATAAAAAACATCCACTAGTCAACAAGACTGGCCAGGCACTTGATTTATTTAAGGAGCATTCAACGCGGCTAGTGTTAGCTCCATAGCCAGCCAATTCAACTCCAGGAATGTGCAGCTTTTGTTTAAAAAAAAGAAATAGAAACAGTCCATAATTATACATTTTGGGGACCACGCCAACATTTGAAAGTGGAGATTTTTCACCACAGCCACTGGACAAATCGCTACAGGAGGAAAACTCCAGCAGATGAAACATAAACGTCTGGCACCCCAGACACATTGGAAGAGTAACCACAGCAGTTTAGGAACAAAGGAAATAGGATCGCCTACGACTGAATGGAAGCCGCTTCTCTCAATAGGCAAGCATGCGGGCTTCCTTTCCCCACAGCACACCTTCCAGCCGCAGCCAAGGAAGCCAAAGATTGTAAACGGACCCAAAGTGATTCTGTTGTGTGTTCTCCTAGCACCCAAATTAAGAAACCGAAGACTGGGCTTTTAATTCTTGACGGACCGTGAAGAAGGTGGTGTTTGCAAACAACCCAGCAGCGTACAGGGACTTGCTTAGTTAAAGATTACTTCAGTGTGGGATTTTTATTTATTACAGGAAGAGTCGACGAATGTTTAAGACGTTTAACAAGTAAAATCGACTACATTAAGTGGGGCTTCCTCCCAGGAAGCACGCCTAGGATTGCAACTTCAGACAAAAGCTGCCAGGTTGCAGGGAGTGGAAGATTTTACACAGGCAAACCTAAAGTCACCACTATTGGAAATTAGCAAGGGAATTCCCAGTTTTAAAGGAGAGAAAACAGAATTCTATTAGCAACCATCAAGGCATTCAGGACAACTCTTCCCTCCCCCCCCCCACAGTATCCCCTCCCCCAAGGCTTTGGCTCCGGGCCACCGTTATAACGTGGCCATTGTCTGGAAAGTTGCAGAGAGCTCTTCAATTATGGAAGGGGGGGGCTGCTTGTTTAATTAATTTCACACCAGGCCTAAATCAATGCTCGGGCTCTCTCTCTTATCTTTGAGTAAGTGGATTTTGCCATTTCACATAGTAAAACCCAGTTGCAAAGTGCACTGAAAGTGGCTCGAAAGTGCGTTATTTAGTGTGTGTGAAAGTGCCACCACCAGACAGAGAAAGGCTCAAGCGACAGAGAGGCAGGAAAATTGGCTTACCTTGCAAACCAGTTCTTCCTCGCTGTGCAGATGTACGGCTCGGAAACTGTGGTCTCCTTCCAGAGGTTCCAACAATAAGTATTTCCCGATGCAAGAAACGCAATGCGACAAGTTGGGAGTCTCTGGCGGGCTTGGCGAGCCGAGATTGGGGCTAAAACTCTGGCTGGACTCGGTGGGTCTTATAGACGTGAGCTCTTCAAAATCCTGGGTTTTATTCCGAGGTCTGCCATAGCGTGCGATTGTGATGGGGGTTGACCTTTGTATGTTCATGGGGATGGAGAGAACAAACCTCTCCGAGAAGCCCCCCCTCCCCAAAGCACGCCCCCCCCCGGGTTGTCTGAAGCCACTCGCCAGAGGGCCCGCAGGAACAATGCCTTTGTGCCTCTCGTCGAGGGCAGGTTGATTCAAAGGGGATTACAGGGCGATTGATAAGGCAGAGCAAACGGGAGAGAGGAAGAGGCGGAGAAGCGTGAGATCAGTCGAAAAGGTTCTGCCCAGCGAAGGCCGGCGCAGTCGGTTCCAACGCTGGGTATCCTTCTTGGACCCCAAACTAACTCGAATTGGCAATCGTGCGCGGTTGCAAACTGCGGCCTCGCGAGGAACTCCGCTACTCAAAGCCAGACCGGGAGGTGGGGAGTCGGTTCCTTCTCCGTATTTTCTTTCCCGATCAGCCCTTCAAAATATTAACACGCTTTTAAACAGAAACGAAGGCTGGGTGATCTGGTGCAAACAGACAATTGTTCTTGCTGCCAAAAAAAGACTCCCCCCCCCCCCCCGGAAAAGAATCTCCTTTCTGCCTACGTTTTAACTGTAGATGGCGTCTGAAGCTTTCTACTGATAGTGAGGACCATCCAGAAATGCAACAAAAAATAGCGAGGGGGCATTTAACTTCAGAAGGTCAGCGAAAAGCTCCACCGACAATGGAGACGCGATGTGGTCACGGGGTCGGGTGCTTGGGGTTTTTCCTGCAGGCAAACGCCGGCTTCCAGCGAGGAAACAGAGGGTCTCCAACACGAAATGCGCCGCCGCTGCCAGGAAGAGAGGGGCACAAAGATCCACGCGCTGCAACGATGGTTTTCTGCTGCTGCTGTTGTTCCCTTTGATCAGACACAAAGTGCAATCAAGGACAAGAAAAGATCGATGCTCTCAGCTCTCCATGGCGTGCAGTTAATTTCCCCCTTCCTTCGCTTTTCACCAGATCTTGCAGCGCAAACCATATGCGAGCAGGAAATTTATATATATATAAATATATATGATTGTTGAAAAATCAACGACAAAACAAAATGCTGCGGACAGGACCTCCCCGACGGTTTCTCCTTTGTCCCCCTCCCTTAAGAGTCCTGAGAGGCGAAGAATAAGAGGAGGAAGAAATTGCAATCACTTAAAAAAAAAATAATATTTCGGGCGCTGATCTTTATTCCTAGAGGCTGCAAAAGAAAGGGGGGGGGGAGAGGAAAGGGATGGCCGAGCCAATCCCTTTCAGCAAGACATCATCTCCCCCACCATGTATTAATAGCTACTTACGTGGCTGGGATTCTCTCTGGCTGTGCCTCACTACTCAATGTCAGGCGCAGCGGTTGCAGAACCTCCAGCACATTTACACCGAGCCTCAGTGCACAGACTGCGTGACTGCCCCGTTCTCGCCGCCGCAGAGCAGACTGGCTCAGAGGCGAAAGCCCGCCCCGCACCGAGCGGCCTCCTCATTGAGCTAAGGAAGCATCAATCACGCGAGCGGGCTGCCAACCCTGCCCCTCCCCCCTTCCTGCTTTCCACTCTCTCAATGAGCTGGTTGCAGGGTAAACAAGGTAAAATATCCTTCCGCAGTCCGAGCACTAAAGTAGAAGCTTTGTGAGCAGTTTGGAGCTGCTGCCACTGCTGCTGATAATGAATGGCGTTGCACTGACCTCTCGTTTCCGCTTGGCCCGAGTTCTTTTTTTCTTCTTCTTTTTTTAACCCTTTTCCCCTAGCGTGGCTGGGAAGTTTTTAATGTTGCAAGCTGAACCCAGGCCCTCCCTCCGCCGCTGCTTTATGAATTAAAACGGCGTTCTTTAACGTTCTTAAACGTTATTTAATTTGTTCGCGTTCTTTAGCGTTCTTAAACGTTATTTAATTTGTTCGCAAGCAGCAGCAGCATCTCCCCAAGCAAAGCACACACCCCCTTCCATCTTTTAAAATGGATCTCGTGCTCAGTGAGACGTAACTTAAGTCTCATGAAAGAACAGCGGGCAAACAAGAGTATGTGGGGCATAGTGCTAAAATAGGCTTGCGTGCCAACTTCGGGAGGCAGGGCCCCAGTGACTTGCAGCCTTGGACAGCTGCATGCTGGAAGGAAAATCAGCGAAGTGGATTTTTGTAATAGTCCTATTCCATGCAGGGAATTATTTTTGCAGCTGAATTATATTTAGCATGTTTTTATCCTCCCTTGCTCTAAACAGCTCACAGAGATATGCATGGTACTCCCCCAGTTTTATTTTCACCACAACTCTTGAGTGAGGTTCACTGAGCCAGATTGGACCATGGTCACCCAGTGAGTTCTGTGGCTGAGGATTCGAACCTGGCTCTCCTAGCTCTTAAGCTTGCACTCAGGGCCGGCCCCAGCTTATTTTGCACCCTAGGCGAGGATCCCTTCTGGTGCCCCTGTGTGCTGCTCCCCTCCCCTGTGCATTTCCTGGCCTTCCTGGGCTGGCACCCAGGTTCAGTCTCCACTCGGGCTGGAGAGCAAACTCATTCCTGCAGCAGCCGAATCACCCACTCACCACTTTCATACCAGCAGCTCACCAAGGAGAATTTTCGCTCCCAGTACTCCACAGCTCCGAGGGAGCCTTGCCCCCCCCCGTGTCTCCTTTCTCACGCAATCCAGTCTTGCCCTCCGCGGGGAGTTTGGAGGTGCCTGGAGGCTGGGGGGTGGGTGGCCTGGTCCTGGGATGCGCCCAAGGCTCTTGCCGGCCAGATGTGCGGGCTTCGGGGAGGGTCGGCTGCGGGGTTGGTGGCAGGCCTGGCTGCGTGGCGGGTGCAGGACTCTGGGATGGGGGGTGGGGGGGTCCGGCCAGAAGACATCTCCGTCGCTGCCGCCTTCCGGGGTGGAAGGGCTGGAAACCAACCCCCAGCCTCCTCCGCCTCCCCCGCAACCCTGACTGCTTGAGGGACCGGACCGGCTGTCACCCTCATGGGGGGGACTCCCTCCTGGGCACTGGAAGGGCAGGCATTCCGCTCCACTCGGTGGTGGGACTTGTCAGATTCTGATCATGTCTATCTAAATGACAGGTAACAGCCTTCCATGCTAGCAGCTCTAGCTGGAGCAAGCAGGTTCTGACTGGCACTTCAGTAGCAGTGTCAGAGTGACTCAGCAGCAAGTGCTGATTGGTTGACTTTTGTATATAAGCATTCTATGTACAGTCTAACTTCTCTCTCTGATGTATACTGGTGTTTGGCGAAGCACTTTATTGGTTGGATTATTGATTTGTGTATACCTGCACCGCTTAACAGGACTTTTGTAAATAAACCTTGTATATATTCCTCCCCACCTAACTGTGTGGACATTGGACTCTATGGGACTTGGCGCTGCACCATACTGTACTACTCTGCTCTGGTGTTAACTCACCAGCCCCTTACACCAGCCTCTAATACCTGCCTCCCGGCAGGGAAAAACCAGCCCAGAGCGGCGACCTCGCAGCTGCTCGGCTCCCCACGGCCGCCCTGGGCTCCCATTTTCTGGGGGAAAGAGCAGCGAAGGGGCACGCTAATGCAGCACGCGCCCAGAAAGTCATGCCGGGGGGGCGAAGAGGCAGCGGCAGCCAGGGCGCGCGGTGCTTTTGGCGGAGGCTTTTGGCGTCCCCATGGTGGCCCCACACTCTAGGCAAGAGTCTGGCTCGCCTAGTGAGCAAGCCAGCCCTGCTTGCACTTGAGTTTCTTCTGTCATGTAACTGTTAATCAAAACCTTGTGTGTGTCCCATACACCCTATTAAGTAGCGTGATTTTTCCAGATACTATAGACTTAAGTGGTTGTTGTACCATATTGTTTCAACAGCACCTTTGTCTAAAGTGTCACATTATTTTAGAGTGGTATATAGAAAACAACTTGTCTGCTTTCTGGAGGGTGCACAAGTTCCATAGACACTAATTTTCTACAATTTAATCAATCTAAGACCATTTTTATCCCATTCTTCCTTCAAAGAGTTCAGGGCGGTCTGTGTGAAGGACTCCTCTATTTTACCCTCATAACAACAATCCTGTGAGGTAGTTATGGAGAGTCACCCAACAAGAAAGGACACAAATACAAAGGTGGGTTTTTTTATACTTAAAATAAAAACATGCTTAGAACATTAGCACTCTTGCAATATTTTGTTTATTTAATAGTGTCTGATAACTGACACCTCTTGCTCTGAATTATTGCATCAAAATGTCTGTGCTGTTGCAATCTTGAGTATGCTGTTCAGGTGTGTATCTGTAAGCTTCAAAGCTATGATGACGCAGCAGAAGACAGCCAGTTCCACTGTGGGCTTGATAGAAGCCCTACGGGGGCATGATCCGGCCCCAGGCCACATGTTTGATACCCCTGGTATAGTGTGTGAATATACATGTGAGTGGCATAAAATGATTCTTCTAATTAGTGTCTAAAGAGGAATACTGTGCACTTTCTTAAGTGAAAGGTTTCCTTCCAGTCATCTTGGGTTTGAATTGGTCATTTAGATTTCTGTAGAAATCGGAAGTCATTTAGAAGTAGGCAGGGGTCATTTCTTGCAGGAGCGCACAGGAGTGGAGCTCCGGCAGTAAAGAGCCCAGGGGGCAGGCACATGCAACCAGCCCCGCCCCCTGCTCCCTGCAGCCCTCAGTCAGAGCAAGAAGCAGAGCCCCCCCCGGTCCAAAACAGTCCAGTGGCATCTTTAAGACCAAGTTTTATTCAGGTGCAGGCTCCCTCTTCTGCGAGGACTGATTTACACATCCCCCCCCCCCCAATAGCTAGCAATCCAAAACAGTCCAGTGGAGCCTGAGTGGTGGGTGTTGCCTTCTGACACACTTCCAGTGATGCCAGGGAGTGTGGCATATGCAAATAAGGTATGCTAATGAGTTATGCTAATGTGTTCCTGCACCTCTTTTTCTACAAAATGACCCCTGGAAGTAGGTATTTTGTGATAAATAGATGGGTACCCTTGGAACTACCTGTTGCCCTTTCACGAGGTTGATAAAAATTGTGAAGAATTTCTGCAATTCAGCTGAACTCAGTTGCACTGCTCTAGAGTTAAGCCTGATCTAAACATGAAGCGGCATGTATGCTTTCCTACTGCCGGTGATTTTTCAAAATTTTCGATACATGAATAATTATCTGATAAATGGATAATTTACACAGCATGTAAAGAGCTGGGCTAGAACCACCTCCCCTTGTTTACAGAACATTTTTACATGAGGCAACAATAAAAATGTGACTCTCCGCACTTCCAGTCTGATGGTGCCCACAGCCTAGGGATGCCAGCCTTCAGGTGGGGCCTGGGGTCCCCCCAGAATTACAGTTCATCTTTAGACTACAGAGATCAGTCCCCCAGGAGAAAATGAATGCTTTGGAGGGTGGAGTCTATGACCACAAAGTGGTCACACAAATTTGATATAAAAGTTGGCAGCGTTCAGAAGACTGGCAGAACATTTTAATCTATGGGGGCATTTGAGTATTGATCTCATATTCATTCTTCAACAAAGAAACTCCTAAAGGAGAATTTGGTGGGATTAGAATTTATCAGTTGTGCTAACCAGGACATTTCTA